CTTCAAGTAGTATGAATATTGCTCCCTTCATGCAGGATCTCAGAGCACTAAACAATGGCATGGTTTGACACCAAGCTGGAGTGAGAAAAGGAGGTGACTATAGGGGCTGTTGAAGAAGAAGGTTTTCAGGTGTGATCTAAAGATGGGCAAAAAGGGGGCAAAGCGGAGAGGCTGGCAGGGAGTTCCTGAGATCCAATAGGAGTTTAATGCCGTTGGTAGCACAGAGTGGTCACAGCGAATAGACAGAGTGGGGTAAGTGCTTCATCACCCCATCTGCCCACAATTCTTAGACATTAATTCTCTATTCAGTTAGCTCGTATTCAAACATTTTTTTCAGAAAAAAAAGAGTAATGATAAGGGGAAGGAATGACAGAAATTCACAGGGTCTGATATTTCCAGTATAACCCATGCCTCAACTCACATGGGCCTGCCGCAAACAAGAGGAAGCGTTGTTATTGGTTCTCATGCAGCCTCTAAATAGCATGCAAGCTGCACTGCACAGAGACGGAGAAATTAACACTGAGTGTTCTTGTTGCAAGTCCAGCTCCCACCACCTAATTGTGTGATGCATTAAAAACAGTGGTGAAGTGAAGACTTCCTGTGGCTCAACGACTAGGAATAGAAAGTAAATAAAATTGAAAAAATGGATTTTTACACACAAAACACACAAAGGTTTGAAAATAATTGAAGAAAACAAGAACTATTTGAAATAAGTAGAAAGTTCAATGAATTTACTTAACCAGTAAAAAAGCAATATATTCTCTTTTACTTATTTTATTCCTATTAAATTTTGGGGGAAAAAACACCAAACAGATAAAATACTTTTACCTTACCAATCCCTCAACGATTAGCTTGTCAGTGACAATAAGGCACATAAGCAGACCTACCTTTATCTAAAATTCTAAAATGACTTAATTCTTCTTAAAATTAGTTACTTCTCTTTTCTCAATCACAAAGGAACAGCAGCGAAAATGCAGAAGTGACTCATTTTCTTCTGTGTAGACTTTGTAACGTTGTGTCTTGCGGAGGATATCGCTAACACTCACTCCTGACAACTTACAAGAAATCACTTGAAAACAAGATTATGAGCTGACAAAAGGGCTTTACTCTATCACAAGTATTCTAGGCAGCAAATTGAACCTGAAACAAAAGTTTACACAAACAGCTCACGGAGCTCACTTCAAAACTGGCAGCTCCGTATTTAAAAGTACACTACAACAACAACAAATTACATTTGTAAATCGCCTTTCACATCACTAGGAGCTCTATTGCAGGACAGTGTTCCCTGGAGTAAACAACTCATTAAACTAAGCCTGTGTAAAGCACATTAATAAAGCCGAAATAAAGGCCACATTAAATTATTAAAAGGCTCTGAAAGCAAACTGCCTGGTTACAAAATGGAGTACAAAAAGAAGTTGCACCTTATCTTGTTTCTCAGTTGAACTGTGAATTAGCATTAGAAATCCTATGATGGGCATCTAATGTATTTAATAGAATATAAAAACTATTATTTTGAGTGCTCTTTTTGATATAAATCAATACTGGGGTAACGTAAGGCCTCGGAGCACAGTGCCGGGGTAATCTAAGGCCTCTGCTAAGTTTGTGTGACAAATATGGAGGATTTCACCAGCATTTATATGATAACTAGTGATCCACAATCAATATTAGCAGGTTATGCAGTGAATCACAGTAGACCATCTCATGGGTGAACTAAGTAGAGTTTTCTCACTGTATTCTGCAATGTGAATTTGCAGCATTAGTGCATTATATACAGTAACTGTACAATAAAAGACAGGTGAACACATCGATGTCATGAGCGACACCTATCAAATTCTAACAGGATTTCTGAATTAAGGAATCTTTGTAGGAATTCCTTCAAGTACAGATGTAAGTTACTTCATCTGTGGAATTCTTCTTTCAATTTGATCAATAATGCTGCTCGCCTTCGCCACTGCCCGACCCCGAGATCCTCATACTCGCTTTCATCACATCCATGCTTGATAGTGCTAATGCTCTGCTCACCAGACTCTCCAGCTATTTGCTACACAAGCTGCAGACTGTCCAGAACTCTGCAACCTGTGTCCTCTCCCACACCAGGTTCTGTGAGCCTATCACCCTTGAGCATTAATTCTTCTGATCGGACTACTCCTTTCGCTCAGCGAACACTGGCCTGCTTCATGCCCCTGCTCTATCCGCCCCACCATCGGCAGGCATCTTTCAGTCAATCTGCCCCGCTCTCTGGAACTCCATCCTGGACTCTTGCCCTCCCTCCCCTTATTCAAGGCCTGCCTCAGGACTTACTTCTTTGATCACGTTTTATCTCCATACCCAGCTCAAGTGCCCAGCCCGCAGTATCAAGCGTTTGAGACATCCTCCTGACATGAAAGGCACAATATAAATGTGAATTTTATTCTACTTTACTATACACTTCCTTCTAGTTGATGTAACCTACTTCCAGCTTCTTTAATTAAAGAATCCCATAAGAAATAGTCACAAATTAAACCTGATCAATGTAAAGACATTTAACGTCTTTCAAGTGGTCTCTCGGTAGGAGATGAGAGAGTTGGAATTCAGTCGGTCCAGAAATAATATATTTTGCAGTTCGTTGCTGCAGAAATAAGAACCCAAACTAAATTTATTACAAAATACAAGAAAGATAGAAATAGAAAGCTGCTAACATTGGTGTGTAACTGATATTATTTTACACCAATTTAGCCTTTTCTCCCTTAACTTCATAACTCATGTTCGGGTATCATTTCTGGCCTAAGGTTATTCTACTGTGGGGGAAGCAGACCTGATAATCTGTATTGGGCCTATTATTCCTCAACAATATTTTCAAATTATTTGGGTATCTGGTCTAAAACTGGGAACTGTTAATATCCGCACAGTCCACTGGATTAGACATTAATTGATATTCAATAGTGCATTCTTACTCACTCCTGATACCAACAGCAAAACATAAACACTTTCGATATTACGAACATGAGTACATTGTACGGACTGAAAACTAAAGGTGTTCACTGATATCTTACATCATATTGCACAGAGATCCAGTACAAATAAGAATAGTTTCGAATAATGCAACCCGCATTATGTGTAGTGAGCAGCAGGAATTCACAAGTATGGTTTGCTCTGCAAAATAGCAACCATGTAACACAGTGCTTACCGAGCGTGAACTGAGTAAATCTTTGTCTTGGAAGGCTAAAGATAAGGTCTATAATTCCAAGGCTCATTGACAAAGTAGACAGGTGGGTGAGCCATCATCAGTACTTTGGATTTCTTGCTGTTATCTGATTTTCCCAAACATATCTCCCGGACCCAGTTCAGCTCCAGTGAGATCCTAATTGCCTCTATCATTCCCTTTGCAGACTTTGTTTTAAAGATGTCATGTAGTACTAATTTTATTGACCTCAAAAAGAGCAAAGTGAATTTAGTGAATTCATTAAGGTACAAATGCAGAATCTCTGGTCCCACATTTGGTGCTCAACCAACTCAACTACCTGCAACGTGTTTCATGAGAATGGAACTTAATCATTTAAATCATGCGTCAATGAACTGCTGAATCTATTTAGCTTAATCTTTTGATAATGGATGTATGTGTATTAGTGTAGTAGAATTCTTGTAATAGTGCAAGCAGATTTTAGGGTGTGTCACGGACTTCTTCCTTTTCTGAAGTTCAGAAATGTATAGATTTCAAATGCTCTTCCCCCTCTTAAAAGAAGCCAGTGAAATGTGTTTTTAGATATTGCGAAAGTGCACCTAAAGTACAATTCAACCAAAGCGAACATTATCTGGAATAATCATTTTTTTAAAAATCACCAATATAGCATTAATTCAAAGAAGTTGAATAGAAGCTAACTATTTACCAGAATAATCAAACCAAGGCGAAAGAGAATGTCAGAACACATCAGAACAAAATGTCAGGTACAAAAGAATAAAACAATCCCCTGAGATTTTCCACTCGCTTCATCTGTTCAAAATACTTATTTAATCATTCACTGCATACCTCCAAAATAAGAGATGTGGAGGATAAAATACCGGCACAGTCTAGTTGGGCTGAATGGACCGTTCTATGCAATTCTATAAAAAATCATTATGAAACAGTTCTTTTCCAATAATCAATAGTTCTGTTTTCAGCCCAACATTTTGACAACATTAGATGTGAAATTAAACGTATTTAGCTAAGTGGAAATTATGATATTCACCAAAAAAAACTTAAAGATGTAAAACCATCAAAAATCATGAATTCCGAAATAAAACATTATGTTTTGGGGAACCAGGTTAACTTAAAGGTCAAAGTAAATGTAGTTAACCTTCAGCGAAATCAAGATTTTAGCTTAGTCTCTCCACCAAGAAGCTTCAAACATTCGATATTTTATAAATTAAGAAAAAGATAAATAAAAATGTCAAATATTCAATAAAAATGCAAACTTCCACGTCAATTGGAAAACATGAAGGAAAACTTTACGGTCCACGAATTGAAAATTAGAAATGTTCTCGATTTTTGTTCAGATTCTCTCTAAAAAAAGCTATTCAACTTCAAAGTCTAAATTGGGGTCACAGTTGCATCTACACATCTAAAATAAATACACCAAGTTTTACTGAGATAACACTTCCTACAGCAAAGATTATTTTTCACGTGAGAAAATAGAGCACATCAAGGAAGCTATCAGACAGATAGAGAGATAGATGGATAAATGCACAGATAAGATGTTCCCAAATAAGTACGACCAAGTACCAAATAAAAACTGCCCTGTGACCAGAAGTCTGTTGCAGCCTTTTGGTGATCAATTTGTTTCATTGTTAACAGCTTCTGCCACTGGACAATCTTCTTCCAACAGATGATGACAGAGTGACACAAGGACATGAACCTTCGCATTGAAAATAGAATTGAGCTTTTTTCATCGAGAGAGAGAGAGAAAAAAAAAAACCCCAAAAAAAACAAAAGATGAACCATTTCAGGTAACTTTAAGGGAGGGGATGGACGTGGGTCACTTTACCTTGGACGCCAACAGTTGCACCCAACAGAGCAGAGGCGAGAGCCCAGAATTTCAGCCAAGACAACTTGGCCATGTTCCTAACGGTGACCGAAAATAATTCGATGAAGCAGCACCATGCGTCCTGTCGAGAAATAATACAACTATTATTCTTTATGGGGCGGGGGTTGAGAGAGGGGCAACAACAAAAAAAAAAGTGTTTCAACTATTTTGTTTTTCCTTTGCTCCCTCCTCCCTCCTCCCATCCCATCCCATCCCATCCCCTACTGAACACCCAGAGAGAGAGAGAGAAAGAGAGAGAGAGAGTTGGTAATAAAAGGACGCCGTACAGTGAGTGGTGTGTGAGCTTTGCAGTGCAACTTCCTTTTTTTCGAGAGTTTTACCCGAACTTCAACCACTCAGCGACTGTCATGGTTTAATGGTTATCTCTCCCGGTGATGCAAAGTTGCAAACCTCCTGCGCTTTTCTGAGTCGCTCTCTCTCTCTCTCTCTCTCTCTGTGCAGGTTTGCCCCTATCGCTGGGCTCCAGGAAGTCAGCAGCTGCAGCAGAAACACGTTGCGCAAAAAAAAAATAACAACCACTCTCTTTGACTTCCCCAAATGAAATCCTATGCGATGCAAAGGTCGGATACCATCGCTGCCTTTTCCCTGCGCCCCCACACCCCACACACACCCCCCCCCCCCCCCCACCACCCCCCCTGGCATCCGAGCGCTGCTTTCTGTCGCTGGTTTGAGGGTTTCCCCGTCCATTGCAAACTGTCCGGATTCTGTCAGTCTGGATTTAGATCCTCACTGCGAGTTGTCTTTTTTATTTAATTTAAAAAAAACAGAAAAAAAACACACAAAACGGTGAATTCAGTCCAGTGATATTTGACCTTGAGGGGGTGGTCAGGTGCTGTGAAACCGCAGTGTCAATGCCTGTCCCCCAAAAAAGGACATTTTTATTTGCAGTGTGGATGACATCCAGTCCCAAATGTAAACCTGATGTTTTACGGGGTTTAGGACACGTAAACCCAGTTATACACTGAAATCCGGTTGACTGAAGCTGACTTGAGCAGCCATTCCATTTTACAGTTATTTCTGTGAAGCGCTTTGAGGCGTCTCAAAGACGCAATAAGGTGCTATATCAAATGCAACGATTATTATTATTATTATTATTATCTATGAAACGCTTGGAGACATACCAACCGCTACCCCCACATGAAAAGTGCTATATCAAATGTAAGGTTTATTATTACAATTCGAACCATTCAGGAGGTAACTGCTACCAACATTGCATTAACCAAACACCAAATGTTCATTCTCCAGATCTAAGTGGACCCTGCAGTGAAAGGCGCTGTAAAAGCAGGCTTTAAATCTTTCATTCCACTTTGTGAGATAATGTTTTTTTTCAAAAATCATAATGAAAAGAAACCTTAAGATACAATACATGCATTTGGCACAAGTGGACTTTTTGTATTTTGGGGGTCCTTAAGAAGCTATGCAAATCAATGATAATAATCCTTGTATAACGCCTTTCTCGTCAGGAGGACATCTTAAGGCACTTTGAAGGATTTCCTGTGAAGTCTCAGCACCCTACATGAAGTTCCTCCTAAATTCTTCATTAGATCAACTGCTACCTACCTTATATTCGTTCATTTTGGACTCACCAACAAATGACCACCTTATCAGATCCTTCCATCAGCTCCCCTCTCAGTTGTCTCAGCTCCAGAGAGAAAAGTTCCCATCTGTCCAATCTTGATAGTTGTATCCACTCATCCCTGGTAACATCATTTCAAATCAACACTGTACGTTCTCCGGTGTTACATTATTCTTCAACAGCAACTTGCATTTATATACACCCTTCACACAGGGTAGTATCTCGGGAGTACTTAACAATGGCAGAGCCTGACACTGAGCCAACAACAACATTACATTTGTACAGCACCTTTCAAGTCGGGAAGATGTCCCAAGGCTCTAAACAGTGAGGGATTTGGACCCGGGCAGTGGATTGGGATCAGGATGGGTGGAGGGCAGGGAGGGTAGGGGAAAGAGGGCAGCCAAAGAGGTGGGTCTTGGGCGTGCCTTGAAGGAAGCAAAGGAAGAAGCAAGGCAAAGAGACTGTGAGATGGAGATCCAAACGTTGGAGGCAGAGAGACTGAAGCCCTGACAGCTGATGGTGGGGCAGGCCAGGCAGGGGACATGGAGCATGCTGGAGCCTGCTGAGTGGGTGATGGGCATCGGAAATGTTGATATGTGGTTAGCAGGTCACAGAGGTAGGAAGTAACAAGACCTTGGAGGGCATTGATGGTGAGGATGAGGATTTTGAACTCTATTCTCTGGGGGATGGAGAGCCAGTGGAGCCATGCAAAAGGTGGGGGTGATAGGGTCTGGTGTGGGAGAGGACACAAGCTGCAGAATTCTAGATGATCTGCAGCTTGTAAAGGGAAGAGTTGGGAAGGCTGTCAAGCAGGGAGTTAGCGTAGTGGAGCCTAAATGTAATAAATGCGTGGATGAGGGTTTCAATTACTTGAGCAAAGAGCAGTGGCAGAGGTTCGTAGAGGGAGTGATGGGAGAGGAAGGAGCAAAGCTGGGAAGCAACGACTCATTCCAGGACCTTGGAAAGGAAAAGGAGGTTGGAGATGGGGCAGTAATTGGAGACCAGGGATGGGTCCAGGGAAGAATTTTGGAGAATGGGGGTGATGAAGGCTGTTTTTGCCTTAGCAAGTTGGGAGAATGTGCCAAGGGGGTTGGGATCAGGAGGAGTGAAAGAAAAGGAGGTTGGGGGTAGGAGGATGACTTAAGGCTTCATTAAAGCTTCTCCAAAGCTTCCCATCTTTATATCCCAACCTATAGTTGAATTCTTACTTCACTTGGACCATGCACATATATAAAATAGTTGATATTAAATGTGGTACCTGGTTGTTTTCTTTTGTTTAATCATAACAGCTTTTGCTCTCACCAGCACAGGAGGATTTGATATACATTGGTTTCATTTTCAGATAACCTTACTTTTGGTTAGTTGGGTGTCTGAGGCAGAAACCTATCCCATGCTTAGGTGTATCCCAACCAGACTGGTAGTTCCACATATGTACGCCATTCAAACATGGAAATGTTACTGTGTCTGCAAATGTGTATTCTCTCCCTGGAGAGATGCACCCTGCTTACCTAATTCCGGAGAGTATTAGGGGCAAGTTGGCAAGAGCCAAAGGCTAAGATACTCTGGAGTGTGCGTTGAGGTGCTGCTGGAATCTAACCAGCTAAAACCGCACAGCTTGCCATTGATAGCAGTGTCTGGCAAGCTTCCCACTGCTTGTTCAGCTAGGACAGATATCTTGTCACTGATAAATTATATTTAATTCATTCTGTATCCCTTGACTTCATCTGTCAAAATAATCAGCTTGGATTCAGTGTCTGTATAGATAGTGGCACAAGTAGAGAAATAGGATATGATAATTATTTTCTATCTTAGCAAGGACTATTACTTTAAAGTGCAGTTGTTTTAATTGATGGAGATATTCATCACGTTTCACTTCCACCAATTTATCTGTATATAAAATTGTGTCCCTCCACTCAGTAACAGTGCAGTCCTGTAGCATATTGGTTAGAGCACTCGACTCGCAAGCGGGAGGACCTAGATTCAATTCCTGGGCAGGGCAAAGCTTGAGGCAAGTTTCCTTACTCTACATGCCTCTGTAGCAGTAAGTAGTCGATTGGCAGATCGCTTTTCTGGGGCTAATAATCCCTTAAAAAAAATTGTGCCACTCAGTGAACAACTGCTTGTGGGCCCCTTCTGTGCACAGTTGACTGTCACATTTCACCCACAAAATATTCAGTCAATTCCCTTTACAGTATATTCTGTGAAGCACTTTAAGATGTCTCAAAGACGTGATAAGGTGCTGTATAAAGTGTCCAACTTTTGCACCATTTTCAGTTTGTACATTCATCACCAGCTACATAACTCATTGTGGATTGAATTAAAATTTAGAATAGAAATGGCTCTCTCAATTTAATGATGAATCTCAGTCCCATTTAAGCAATTTCAAAGATGATGAGCAGACAACTTTTTATATACACATGAACAACACCCAGAACACATTGCTACACTAGTGCATTAAGAACTCAAACACTGGCACAGAATCAGCAGTTTATTTTATTTTCTATCCAGGGATAGAGTTCAAAATCCTCGTGGTTGCTTTCAAGGCCCTCCACGGCCTCTCTTCTTCCTAGCTCTGTGACCTGCTAACCCCATATCAACCTGTCCGCTCCCTTCGCTCAGCGTGCTCCACAATCCCGTCCAGCCAGCCCCACTATCAGCAGTCGAGCCTTCAGCTCGACGGGATGGATCAAAACTCCATCCCACATTCCCTTGCCTCCTTCAAGGTACATCTCAAGACCCTCCTCTTCGATCGCTTCTTCGGCCACTTTCCTACCCTCCTTGCCCTCAACCCTCCCTGATCCCAACCCACTGCTCAAATCCAAATCCCTGACTATCCAGCGCCTTGAGATATCCTCCTTACTTGAATATTTTGTATTGTGTTGTATTGTCATCACACTCTGATATATTTGTGCATTTTATTTTTACTTTGATATGACATGGAATAGGCACAGACCCGACTAGTTCATGGTGGTGTCTATACTTGACACGAGCCACTACCCTTCCTAAATCTCTTTCCTGTGCCTCTCTCTCCCCTTCTGCTTACTCATGCATCAAATTTCCCCTTAAATACATTGACGCTTTTTGCTGTCGACCACAGCTTCTGGCACTAAGTTCTACATTCTCACCCTCCTTCTACGTAAAGAAGTTCCTCCAAAATTCCCGTATTCTATATTATTCACAACTTAGTAGCTGCGAACTTTAGCAACACATTGCAACGTGTGCCGTCATTTCCTCTTGCCACAAATAGTTGGGCATCCGGTTTAAAGAGCTCTGAGACCCAAGAGGCGTGTCCTTCGTTTCAGTCTGTTCAATTTTAAGGACTTCTTTAATCCTTAAAGATCCTCACGATTGGTACAGCACCTGAGCACACCATCAAAACATCTCAAAACACTTTACAGATTTTTTACTGGAAAGTATAAGGTGCACTTTGGCAAGAGCCAAGGCTCCAGAGTGTGTTGGGGTGCTGTTGGAGTCTAACCAGCTAAAACTGGATAGCTTACCATGTGAATGACCAATTAACGAGTAAATTGGGATCAACCAATTGTGCAATAGAAGTCAGAGCTCTTGATAAGATAAACACTTTCTCACACATGACTGTAAACATGGCAGCCATTTTGAACAGTAAAGTCCTATAAACAGCCATAAGCAGAATAACTGACTAACCAGGATAATTACTGACAGAATGGACTCCCTTTTCCTTTTTCTTGGAACAACGTCAGTAAATTCAGTAAAAATAAAATACACAGATATATCAAACAGTTTCACTAAAATGAAAATAAAATACAAACATTGGAAATTTGAAGTAACAAAGGCAGACTTGCTAGAAATCCACAGCATCTGAAAAAAAGAAGCTAATATTAACTTTTTTTGTTCCTTTTTTTAAAAAAAATGTCTATTTGAACTTTAGTGTTCTTCGGAGAGTACCAGTAAATTATGAACATAATACAGATATTCAGTATTTTTATGTATATAATATGCTTTGAGCTGTGGGCCCTCAAAACAGTTTATGATTTGATTGTGTG